CTATCATTTTTAATTTCTATATCTAATTAACTGGTTACTTTTTTCTTAGCAATTATCAGATATATATTTCTCTAAATGGAATTCAATGTTAGAATGAAGTGGTGATTATTCACATACATATACTCCCTGTTTCCCAAAGGTAAGAATTAATATCATAAATGTAAAACCTCAACTACTCACTTTATTTCTCAAATTTATAATTTTTTTCAAACTTTCTCTATTAATTGCACATAATAGAGAAATTTTCCGTCAAGAGAAGAGTTTTCAATTTTTTTTTTTGACCAGTGGTTTTCAATTCAAATTATTAAAATAGGTACTTTAGAGATATCAACATACATTAAATAGTTTTTTTTAACACTTATAAATAAGTTGTCTAACTTGTATATTTACGACTGGAGAGAATGATTGAATCCTTGTTTCAAGACATGTTCCCCGAGGTTTTGAAAATGAAGATAAGATCAAGTAAATTTCAAACTGAAAATTAGGCCTATATAACGATGAATAAACTTTATAAGAGATAACTAGAATTTATATTCTACTCTAGAAAAAAGTATAATAATGGATGGCATCACAAGCTTTTTAATGACTGACGTAATATATATATATATATATATATATCAATATAAAATCTATAGCAAGCCAAGCTACCCTATTCACAAGTCATGAAGAAGATGATTATGTATGTTCCAGCAAAAGAGATTTATACTCCCTCTAGCCTTGAATTTAGTAGTTAGTAAAGAAATTTGTTTTGCTCATAAACATAAAATCTCAATCTACTTTGTTTTTCAAATTTATAATTCTTTTTTAACAATTCCCATGTTGATTGCACGATAATATCATAATGGGTTTTTCCATCAAGAGTAGTTTATTTCCAGTGCGAATAATTAAAACAGGTATCATGGAGAAGTCAACACACATTAAACAGTCTTTTTTAATATCTGCAGCAAATTACTCCCTTCGTCCCTTTTTATAGAAAACAACTACCATCTTTATGTTATCCCTATTTATAGAAACATTGGTAAGATGTCTCAAATTTTTTTGGTTAGTTTCCTATTTTGCCTCCTTTAATTACCTATTTTAATACAGATTTCCTGAAACATCATTCTCTTTATTTTAATAATTTTTTATTCTTTTCCTTATACTTCCCCTTATAAATAAAGGTATTTTTCTAAAAAAATGGTTTTTATATATTTATTATTTTTAATCAATTTCAATTAACTTTTTAATCCACTTGATTTGGTCAAATAATGTTTTTAATAAAAAGGAACGGAGGGAGTAGTTGTCTAGCTTGTATATCGATGACCAGATCAATATAATTGAATCTCTGTTTCAAGACATACAGGTTCGACTAGGTTTTGAAAATAAAGATAAAATCAAATAAATTTAAAATTAAAAATGGGGCCCATATAAATATTATCACTGATGTTGCAATATTATAATGAGTAGCATCACTAGCTTTTCAATTACTGATATACTACCTCCTTTCCTTAATATAAGACCTCGTTTGACTTTTATTTTAGTTTTAAATATAAGACCCTAATCCCCTTTATCTCCTATATTTATGCATTTTTTTTCCAAAAAAGTCCTTCTAATAATGATAGTTCTAACCAATATACATTGGTTAGTAAGGATATGTTAGGAAAAACAACTCTTATTTATTAGAAATAACTAATTTAATTTATTTTCTTAATCTCCTCAAATTAGTCAATCAATTCTTATAATTAGGACCGGAAGTAGTAATATATATCAATATAAAATCTATAGCAGGCTAAGCTAACCTATGCACAAGTCATGAAGATGATGATAACACATCATTTCTTAGATTATATCATGGTTATGCATGGAATTGAATTAAACTTGTGTTTTTCTTTTTCTCACTATAAGTACAGATGATAAAAGAAACAAACGCGAGCTATGCGAAATCAGAAGTGGAGGTAGACGCAAGAGAAGTATTGGTTGGATTGGCCCAAGAAACAGAGGAATTGGCAATGAAAGAGAGGCAAAACTATAGCCCAGTACTGAAGAAATGGCATGGAACAGCAGGAGCCGTGGCAGCATCAACTCTTCACAGTTGCTATGGGCAAGTTCTGAACCAGTATCTGAATGACGTCACCACGCTGACGTCAGACACGGTTGAGGTGTTGGAGAGGGCTAACAAACTTGAGAAGGTTCTGGTTCATATGGTGGTTGAGGATTCTGCAGATTGTGAAGATGGTGGGAAGACCATTGTGAGGGAGATGGACCCTTATGAAGTTGACTCTGTCATATTGAACCTCTTGAGGAAGTGGATCCATGACTCTCTCACCAAATGCACTGAGGTTTTTGAAAGAGTCAGAGAATCTGAGGTATGGATTTTGAATTTGGATTAATTAATTTCCTCATTATTTGTTGAATTAAACTAAAAATGGCTCATTTAAACAGATTTTTGTACCAACCCATATAATAACATAAGAATGATTTATATATATGATATATATATCTTCTTTCATTATTAAAGATAAAAAATTGTCCTTATTAGATTCGGAATATTTTGCTCAAAATCATTATGAAAGCAGACACATAAAGCTTTTAACATTATTCAAAGAATGTAAGGTATGGACATTGACTTTGGATTAATTTTCTCTTAAAAATGGTTCATTTGAACAAATCTTTACCATTCATATGTTGCGATAAGAATGAATTATTACACACACACACATTTTCTTTTTTATAACTTGGGCTATTCATATTTTACTCAAAATCAATGAGAAAAACAGACACATTAAACTTTTAGCATTAGTTGAAAAATTGCACCCAAAAATTTCATTTTGGAAAAAATGATTTGTTTGGCATGAAAATGGAATATACCAAGTCTATTAAGGATAAAAGTTTCTCTTTAATAATGGAAAACTTAAACTGCGCTTAGATAAGCTCAACGAATAGTTTTCCTTCCAAATAAAATAAAAAAGAAATGAGAGATTTGGATTCTAACTAATGTTGAAAGCTAACTGCGTCTCCTTTTACTTACCCATCAAATGTGAGATTTTGGACCAATGGTGGTAGAAGCCACTCAATACTCCTGAAAAAACACAGTCATGAGTTTAAATCATGTGAATCTATAGAAAAATGACTCGTAAGGAAAATTACTTTCATTTAGGTCTAACCATACTCAAATAAGATCTTATTATATTAGATACTAGATAGTTATAACAATCTTGTTATATATTACATAGTAATTGCATTTTGTGTGTTTGATAGCAGACATGGAACCCAAAGTCAAAACAAGAACCATATGCACAATCAGCTATGGAGCTTATGAAGCTCGCCAACACAGCAGTGGAAGAATTCTTCAGAATTCCAGTTTCAATCCCTGAGGATTTAGTTCAAGAACTTGCTGTGGGTTTGGAAACTCTATTTCGAGACTACATGACATTTGTTGCAGCATGTGGTAAGCTTAGAAACTAGCTACTACCTCTGATTCTTAATATAAGAGCTACATAATTAATTCGGAGATATGAAAAATATAAGTTAAGTTGGTTATTTGTAACAAATTGTTGGCTTTCCTAAATTACCTTCTTTAATCCTATTCCTTGGAATTATCCTTTGGTAGGAACCCTTTACATCCAATATGAATTTTGTGGGGGGAAAATTATAAATTTGAGAGATAAAGTGGATTGGAATCATATATTTAGGACTAAATTCAACTCTCAAAACTAGCTCTTATATTAAGGATAAGAAGTAACATATATAACAATTGCATCATCTCAATTTTGTGTTTTAATCTATGCATGTCTCAGGTTCTAAAAAGAGCTACATCCCATCACTTCCACCATTGACAAGGTGCAGTCGAGATTCAAAATTGAGCAAAATGTGGAAGATAAGAAACCCTTGTAGTTATGGTCTTGAACAAGAACACCAAACAATTCATTCATCAAATGAAGCTCATCAAAATCCTCAAAGTAATCTTCCTCCTCCTCGTCCCTCTACCAGTAGAGGAACTCAACGTCTTTACATTCGCCTTAATACCTTACATTACCTTCTCACTCACATTCATGCCATTGCCAAAGCTCTCTCCCTCCACCCTAACCCGCGCCCTTTCGCCGCCACTTCTCACTTTGAGATCCTTGTCTCCTCCATCCACGCCGCCTGCCAACATGTCTCCGAGATTGCCGCATACCGCCTCATTTTTCTTGACTCCAACTTCATCTTGTACGACTCTCTCTATGTTGGTGACATGGCAAATGCTTCAATTGGATCTGCATTGAGAATTTTGAAGCAAAACCTAAACCTAATGCTCACTATTCTCACTGAGAAAGCACATGTGGTGGCAGTGAAGGAAGTGATAAAGGCTACTTTTGATGCTTTTCTTATGGTATTGCTTGCAGGAGGAAGCAATAGGGTTTATAACAGGTCTGATCATCAGCTTATTAAAGAGGACTTTGAGGGTTTAAAAAGGCTTTTTGTGAATTGTTGGGAAGGATTAAAAGTAGAGGATATTATGGATAAAGAAGGTGAAGTAGTGGAAGGAGTGATAGCTTTAATGGGAGAAAGTACAGAGCAATTAATGGAAGATTTTAGCACCTTAACATGTGAGACAAGTGGGTTAGGTGTAATAGGTAGTGGCCAAAAATTGCCTATGCCTCCAACAACAAGAAGATGGCATAGAGCAGATCCAAACACAATATTGAGGGTGTTGTGCCACAGAAATGACAAAATTGCAAATCAATTCCTAAAGAGAACGTTCCAATTAGCAAAGAGGAAATGAGAGAGTGAGACAACTTTTCGTATTCTTTTTTCTCTTTAGAGCACAAGTACATATTCATCCATGTGCCTTGTAAATAGGAACAAACAGCTTGGTAAGCACTGGTGTATGATTTTAATAAATAGGGCTTTTTCAACACTCAAGAGACTACATATATTATTGTAGTGATATAGATTCTCTATAATTTAAAAAATGTGAATGTATATAGTGCATTCAAAGAGAAATAGAGATGTGTGTCTACACACTGTCACATTCTTTTTGCCACTTTACCTAAAGAAAGTGATTGGATTAATATTGCATAAATTAAACATTCGGTCATCATGATGTTAAAAAGTGTAGGAGAGAAAGAATGAGAGGTTCTTGTTATGTTTGATTAGATTGTTGTTGAGAATGGTTGTTACTTATGGTATAAAGCCAATGAATTAATCAAAAGGTGTTTGATTATATTGTAATCTAAGGATCAAGCATGCTTGCTCTCACGATGAGCCTGTGTAATATATATAACATGCTTGCTAAAATGTTGGTTTCAATGTTTGGCTTTTTTATATATACTTTTTGTTTTCAATTATCTTATAGGTAGTTAGTGTTGTGGCATGCTTCAAACTGTATCACCTTTATTAATATTATAGGTAATCCTTCATTTCTTATATGTAGTAATTAGTTTTGTTATGATTATTGCACTTTTTTCATTTGAATTGTTGATTTTTTTTTATTATGAGAGCTCATACACTGATGAAGAGACTGACGATATTCGAGATCATTTGGCACAACAATTTCTTCAAGAGTGTTATTCTTAATGATACATGAGGTCAAAAGGGATTAAAATATCTATTTAATATAAGTTAGGAGGTGATTAGATTTTTTGGTTTTAAACTTTCTTGTGCTATATGGTTAAGTTAGGGTGTTTAGTTTTTTTTTTCTTTTTTTACTTAACTAAGCTAATTTGAATGTTATTGTTATTATTTGTTTTGACCCATAAAATTGTGTATTGTGGAATTTTTTGTTGTATGTTAAGTATGACATGATTTGGTTCTGCTAAATAACTCTTATTGTTGCTAGAATCTATTTTGGTTCTATTCATATGCTTTAGAATTGTAGTTTGTAATGATAAAAATTGGCAATGCAAATTATTTCAACATTTTCTTTTTAAAAAAACATTTATTTTCGTCTCTTTTGGTGTGAATAGACGAAAATAGGCTCCTATTACTATTGCTAAAAACATCTTTTGTGGTATTGAGTTGATTTTGTCAGGTTCATATTTCATGCTATCTCAAAATGTTTGTAAATTAAAAAGAACAAAGCCACTAGTCAACTTGATCAAAAATGTGAAAAAAATTGAAAAATTACAATGTAACTTCTACTTACCTCATCTAATTTTTCAGTAACCGCTGTCTCAATGATGTCATTTATATAGCATATCACTTAATATTCGTATTCAACACTCTCAGATTGACAATAGTACTAACAAAATAAAAAATAGAATTGAATACATTAGAAAATATTTAACTTCATTATCTAAAAAATTTATAAACATAAAACTTAACTCAGAACAACTTAGTTTTAGGAGAGTTGATAAATTCCTATTTTAATATATTATTTGATATCTTTTTGGGGATATTTATCAATTAAAGTGGGATAATTTACATTGATTGTGGATATTTTGAATTAAATACTGATTGCATGAAATTAGAGTTTTGATAGGAAATCTCCTCTTGAATAATTAATTTTGGTTTTATGATAGTATCTCAATTTCATCTTTTGCAGGCCTTAGAAAAGGAAATAAATATAAAAAGAAAGCTGAAAAAAAAGATTTAAAAGATTTGAAAAAAAAGAAAAAGAAAAAGGAGACCATCACATCCTGTTAATTTTAATTCTGAAAATAAGAAGTATAAAACAGATCATGGGTTAAGCAGGGTAGCTAACAGATAGATGGCACAACTTTTGAACTGAAACTAGCCTGGGACCGGACTGTCATTTTTAAAAATATTTGGTCAATATTGAACAGGGTGGGAATGTAGATCTAAAATTATAGAAAATTTCTCAAAAACCATGAAAAATAGAATAAAGGATACATAATAGTATTTGAGGCATGAAAGATAAAAATAATTTATTTTGGAATTTTTTGTATTTTCTTAGAATTTTGGCTAATTAAAAGAAAATTTGTCAAATTGAATTATTTAAAATATATAGGGGTCTTAATAATTCATGAAAAAATAGAAAAATTATTTGAAGGTTTATTATGAATTTTAAAATTATTTCCAACATTTAGAGATGCTAAGGTTAGCTATAATTATTTAAAGCTAAAAATTTTATCGGTAAAGGGCCGATTTCGGGAAAAATTCAATTGAAGGAATTATAGGCCAAAATAAAACTAAGAAAATTAGGAAAACCTCTCCTCGTCAAAAAGAAATTATTGGCACAAGGAAATAAAGTTTTGGAGATAGTGAATTTAATAGGATTCAAGAAAAATTTAACTGATTACATGAAATTGTACAGTGCAATAGCCATAAGCCTATTAGGGCTAAATTTTCCCCTATTTTTTGACCTATATGGCATCATTTATGAAGGTTGAGGACCTAAATGGAATAATACAATTTGTTGAACAATAGAATTGGAAGATTGGAATTTTGCTTAAAATATGTGAATTTTTACACATGGGAGCTTATGTTGTTAGATTTAAGGGTTTTGATGATAACAAATTAAGTTGCTAAGTTTTTATGAATACCTGTTTTATTAATCAATAAAGTGTTCTGATGATGCCTCTGTCATTAAAGCACTCAATTAAACTAGATCCTAATTAATTTGTAGTTTAGGATAGACCTAGGTCATTACTTCCAAGGAGCAAGTTATGGGTTTCTTTAGGTAAAAATTTAGGTGATAAAAAAAATGCAATAAATTGAACCTAAACTAAAATGCAAAATTCTAATTCTAAATGAAAGATACAAATGTCCTAAAATCTATATGCAAATTAAATTAAACTTAAATGAATGCAATGCAAATTTTGGGGGAGATTTTTTTGGAAAAACTTAAAATGATAAATGAAGAAAATTGACTAAAGAGCAAAGAAAATTAACAAGTGAAAATTGAGAAGTTCTCTTCGGTAAGGTAGAGGGGACAACTTAGGATTCATATGGATTTAACCTTCATAACCTTAATCAGTTAATTAGACCAAAGGGAAGTGATAAGAGAGTAGAATTAATAAATTTAATTACCTACTTGAAACAAAGGGAACCCTCAATCTCAAAAACCCTTAAACTATTAGAGAACTCATAACAGTATAAAGTTGGTTAATTAAGCTTATTAAAACCAATGAAAATATCTCAAATTAATTCTGGAAATTATGTTTGAAATCATCCAATTAAACAACTAGATAATTAACCAACTTAATTAAACAATTAAGAGGCAAAAGAACCCAAATTTTACAATTCAAACCACATTGATCATTAAACTCATAATGAAAACTCAATTATAAACTCAATTAACAACACAAAGGTTCTAAACATAAATTTCAACAAGTGTCTCAACACAAATAAAATCCAAATATCAATCCAATCCAAGCATAAAGATGACAATCTAGAACTAAATTGTCTCACAAAATTACAACTTAAAATTATTTAAACTAAATAATTTCAAGTCCTTAAATTAAAAAGATAAATGGAACATTACTCCCTTATGGTCTTCAAGTGCTAACCTAAGGCTCAAGTCTTCTCCATACTCTTCCCAAGTTGTCTGCCTCACAAGCTTAAGCTTCCATCAATGTATCTCCTCCTCCAAGCTCCTTAGTGCAATTCATGGGTATGTGACGCAGTGTGGATGATTCAAGTAATGGGTGAAGTACGCGTGGAGCAATTGATGAGAGTGGATGATGTTGTATGACTATGGAACGGAATGAATGAATTATGAGAGGGCGTGAGACTCAAGGGATAGTGGTGAAGGAAGAGATTTTACGTTGAATTTTGCCGTGAGTGTGTATGGAGAAGGAGAAAGTGTGATATTTAGGCTTTCCTGGAGGGATTATTTTGATGGGAGAAAAAGAAATTTTTATGAATCAAAGCTCAAACCCATTAATAATTAATTGGCCTACTTGATATTAGCCATTGGATTGTGCTTAAATCCCAAGAAACAATCTTGCACCATTGGATTCCTATATGCTCTTTCTTGACTTATAAGAATTTAAGTGCATCCATTAATGTAGATTATATCCAAATATAATATAATCTATATCAAAATTAAATATTAGATATGCACAAAAATTAGGCAAGAAATTAAAAAACTTTCTAAAAATAATCTTTCTAAAAATATGAGACTTATTTCCAAAGAAATGGAAAAAATTAATTCTAATTCAAAAATAGGAAATCATAAAATATTCATATTTTCAATCCAAAATCTCAATTTTTATGCAAAATCCAAAAATCAACCAATTTATCCAATAATGCATAAAAATTCAATTAAGCTCAAAATTATCATTTAAATCCTAAATTAATGTGGGATAAAATGTATAAAATTTAGGCTTTATCATGTTCGATCATCGTTTAATCGAATATGTGTTAGATAATTGACTGCTTGTTTTTGAACCCAATACTATTAAGATATCAATCACGTGATAGATGATATATTGTGCCAAATAACTTGCTAGATAAATGGGTTGATCCATCAACTGATCAATCATTGGTATAACTGCTTGAATATAATATGTTTTAGGAAATTATCAATCACTTAATCGATAAATGTATCACACCTTACTATCGTATCATCTTAGGGTTCAGTTAAAACTATTTTAGACCACATTGGATGGTCTTGGGCTCAGTTTTATCCTAAAAAAACGCTGATTTTTGGATTTTTACTGTTCATCGAGTAAAAATCTAGTTTTCTGGCCCAACTTCAAAAATTCATAACTTAATCTAGAAAAATCAAAATAGAGTGATTCAAATTCTATAAAAAGCTCTTTAAATGCTCTTTCAAGGAAAAATAATCTTGTGAACTAATTCCATTTGAAAAAGTGT